GTATTATTAAAGGAATCTTAACCTGGGCACTGTGTCTCAAAGGGAAGCTTAAGACACATCTTGTTTTTCAAATTCACTGCTTTGTGCACTGCTACRCACTTGAACGCGACTAGCAAGACTCTATTTTATACCAACAACACAGCCATTTATCTATGCCAAACGTGACGATATGACAATGGTTAGCTATAAGGACTTAAACTAACATGCAGAATCACCTCCACAACAGGCAAGAAATATTAAAGATTGTATCTCAGTGACAGTTTCTCATCCATGGGTCGGAGTACGCAAGGAATTGAAGGCTAATCCCCACTGTGCATCCGAGGATATAGCCTCTTTTCACCTCTACATCTGTCCTATGCAACTGATTCAGGAGTAATTACAGCCAAGGCTTTTTTTCTGGAATATATGCAATTAATCCTCCCATAAAAAAAAAGGAGAAAGAAGCCGGACACTTTAATAATGTTTAAGTACACCTAACCTATTTCTTTTCTGCTCTTAATATTTWCCAAATATGCAAAAGAAAGTGGATTCCAAAGTACTTACAACCAGCTCTTCTTATGGAAACCATCCACGGGTCTGTAACGTTCCATGGTAAAATACCCAACGTGAAACAGTCCACAAAACCCTCAAGTGCATGCTAAGCAGGGAATCAGTATAAAGAACAATCTAGAAGACTCTTTCTTTGCTTAAGGATTATTATTTTTTTCAAAGACAAGCTCCTTTTATTTATTTCATGTTTCATGCATACGGTGAAAAAAATGAAAATAAGGTGTACTAACCAGCATTCTTATTTTTCCTATCAATTTCAATTTATCTTAAGCTTATCCATTTACTACTCCAAATCTCATTCCAGGTCTGTCATAAGAACAATAATAAAAACAAAAAACAATCACACACAGACACACTGATTCTAGGACTGTATATTTCAATTAATCTACACTGACATAATGACTTTTCAAGGTAATTTTTAAACTTAATCTAAATATCCTTCATAAACAGGTTATTAGCATGTCTCAAGTGCATCTCAGGCAGTTACATAGCAAAAGTTGATAGCAAGTACTCACCTTGATGATACTTAAAAACACCAGTAATTAGCTTATTAGTAAATCAAGCTACCAAAGAGTTAAATTTAACATCTTTTTGCCCTCCAGGGATTCCCAATTTCTATTTTTTTTTTTTATCTAAATATATTTTAACATAGGTTTCTGACAAAGGAGGATTTCCAGGTCATTCACAATGATAGAACAGATAAAAGCTTTCTTGCTTATCAGTTCATGAGCGATACTCCAGAGCATCAAGTTTTAAAGAAGTAATTTTACATCTTGAGGAAAAGCTCCCTTGGCCAGCACAACACCTAGAAGGTCCACAAAAGCCAACAACAACAAAATAAGCAAGTCTAGAAAAAAAAAAAAAGTGGCAAAATATCTCCCACAATAGCGTTATAAGGGCAATTCATTATGCGACTTAACTTTGCCTCTAGGTTTACTCAAAACTTACTGCAAACGCCTCACTATATTTCTCATTTTGGGGGGCCACCACACACGTGAGGACAGCAAGGCTGCCAGAATAATGTTAACACTCTTTTTTCAGTATTAGAGTAGCTGTGCTAGTGCAAGTACCAGAATAAATGTTACCGTAGGCACCACTCAGTTATTTTTATCACCACAAAAATATTTGTTCCTTGAAGTAGTTCCAGTAATCACACCCCAGCAAAAAAAGATTTAAAAATATAAATGAAGGCTGTTCCAGGGCAGTGCTGGGTAGGATACGTTTCAGATTTGATAAGACGGAGAAAGCTATTTGAAATTAGATTTGTTTTACAGAAGAAATAAAAAAAAAAAAAAAAAAACCACAAGCACTAGAGAATAACTCTTTTTAGCAAAGGCCATGTAACGAACACACTGTACCTATTTGGCTCTGTGGATAAGGRGGTAATTTTATCAAGAAGCCAAGGACAGCAAGTCATGCTTCTCCCAGAGTAACCAGCAGCCGAGATGTGGGACAGTTAAACTGAACAATTCAGTTCCTGCTCGAGYTCACCATTTTCAAGCAACTTAACAGCAGTTTTGGATAGCAGGCATCCTTGGAAGCCAAACTCTCCAACAGTTCCTTAAATTATCTTTTTGAGGACAGGGAGYGGCGGGGAACCGGGCAATAAAGGACACAGTCCCAGTGCTCCATCTTACCTGCATCTTATTTCTGCAAAGACAACAGTCAGTTTTCATCCCAGGGTGTTAAGCCAATATTTTACATTACAAAACAAAACAAACAATCAAAAAAAAATGCTTACCCTTTTTCCTCATATAAGTTTTTCTTGGCTTGCTCTGAAATAGGCAAGGTTTTGCCTTTTCTACTCAAGCTCAGGATCCAACCCTATMTTTTCAGTCCTTCGAATAGGAGGCTTCCTTCTCCCTCCCCCACCTTTAAGGGCTCCAAAGTAATTAGGAGGATGATGAGCTGCAGGTGCTCGGCTGCACAGTTACACCTGGCAGCTCCCTTTCCACCAGGAAGCTCCAACTCTACCAATGCTTTCCACCCTCATCAGTATTAAATAGCTTCTTCTTTGTGCATTCAAGTTGGATAGAAATCCTTCTTAAAAGSAGAAAAATCCAGGTCAAGCGAGAAAGGAGCAACTACAGCAAAAAGAGAAACAAGTCCCCCCAAAAGCTGAAGTCCTCCTCAAGTCTGCTGCAGAGCCCCGGAGACAGACTAATTAACCAGGTGTTCTGCATTGCAAGCCCAGATTTTTCAGGTACACCTTCCCTGAGTTGCACAGCTGAACCTAATTAACATGTTAAAACTCCTCTGGTCTTTGCAAAGATTATAAAACAGCTAAACSGTGTTTGCAACTACGAAGTTACCCTACTCAAAGGGCCAATAAACATGTACAGGCACAAGAATCAGGAACAGAAAAATGTTACCGAACAGGTACCATGTCTGTAACATCTTGCAGCTAGTTTCCAAGTTGTTTTTTCAGCCAGAAACTGCAAATCCTCTGGTTTGCTTTAAGCATTCCCACTCCTAATACTGACCACCTCACAAAGATATAGAAAACTGCCACTGATCGGATTTGCAAAATCTGCATTTTTCCATCAATAAAGCATGCATTTTCCATCAATATTTGCCCAATGCTACAGAAACAAAGAAAAAATATATATTTTAACCACATTTCTTGGCTGTTACTTTAAGCCTCCTCTTCTCCCAAGAGATATAAAAGGAGAACTTTGCCTGGGCAGCCCACAGCAGATAGTTGAAGGCCACAAGTCCTTCAGGCATCAAGGACACTACCAAAAGAAGCAGGTAAAAAACACAGAAAAAGAGGATAAAAAGAATTTACATATATATACACACACATCTATTAAAAAAACTCAAGAATTTTGCCCATACTCTTTTTAGCAATTCTAAAAGTGCCAGTACTCAAGTCAGTTTTAATGCATGGCAGTCATTTTAACTCTTCTGGAAACTCCTACTTCAAGACCCTCTGATGATGACTKTTCCGTCTATTAGGATCCTAACATCAAATTCCTTCTGGGAGCTTTTCTGCAGCTGACATCCACAGGGAGGAACTCTGACAACGGTTAACAGGCACGGAGCTACAGCTCACTATATCAATACAGGATAATTTTACAGTGACAAAATTGTCAACCTGTTAATAGCATATGTGCAGAACTAGGCCGATATGAAATTAATGCTCCCAAAGTGTGCAGCAGCTCGCTGTTCACTGTATCCCTTTTTTCCATTTAAATTTAGATAACATTTATATAGTACCATTTCTTAATGCAGCCAAATATAAAACTAAGAATATTGATGACCTGTGCTCATTTTGCAGATGTTACTGTAGCGAAGGCATCTTTCATCAGTGAGCAGCACAACATTTTCCCCATGCAATTTCTGATATAGTTATGGCTGTTGGTGTAAAAATATACTCACATTTTCCATTAGGAAAACCAGCTATGGCATGGCTATGCCATGGTCATGACTACTGTACTCGAGGACCCTTCTGATCTCTCAGACGAGTGACACTAGCAAGCCAGCTTGGCGCAATTTAGCTCTGCTTTGGATGAGTGAATTCATTTTGCCCAAGTTTTGAGCTGGTCACTAGGTGTGAGCCCGAAAGGCACAGAAAGTATTAGAGCTGGATCAGAAATAATTGCTGATCAGGAAAACAACAGCATCTCCAGAAGGTACTCACAAAAGTGCCCATACCTCTCAAATTCCCTATTTGTGACAACAGACAAATTCTTCAACCTTTGTTTTTTCAATCTTCAACTTTTTATGCAGTTATGGACATTGAGGATATGCTGTCTTAAGCATGTTCCATCACAATTGATTTAAMAAATATTTTAGCAGCCTTAATAGTGCAACAAAAATCATTTAGGTCTTTTTTTAAATTGATTGATCCCATATTTTGCTTCACTACCATTTRGGGGTAAGGTGTATAAGCTCAAAATGGTAGTACTTAGCCTTGCTACGTAATATAAGCAAAGAAATCAGTAAACATGAGAATAGATTTTTTTTTTCATTTTTCTTTTTAGTTCAAAACAAATCTATTTAAGAGGAAGGGGAAAAAAAGGAAAAAAAAAAAAAAAAGAATATTTCATTTTCTACCAGGCTTCATAGCTGTGCAAGGCAGCTCACAGGAGAAACCTTCTCAGTTCTTGAGAACATGTGCACAGCCCTTCACAATTTGCGGCATATGCCARGTACAGCATACAGGGCAGTGCTGTTCCTCCACCACCGATTTATGCCACTTTGATACTGCAAGACAACTGTCAACACCATCTCTTAAAACAAACTCAACTCACAGCGCATTTATATAGCAGCCATTTCTGGTAAGTCCCCAGGAAGGTGCAGTCAGCCTTATCGGTGTTCTTCAGAGTGACTGCCATAGCTTTAGGACAGCCAATTTGCCAATTTGCACCAGGTGCGAGACTAAAGTTTTGTAGTTTTTGGTCTAAAAGCTAAAAGAAAAAAAAAAAAAAAGGGCATCTCCTGCTTACCAGCTCCTCCCGAAGTTGGGCTATGAGTTCATCCCTCTCCTTCAGCTGCAGCTTCAGCACAGAACATTCATCTTTTATTACATCCTACAAAAACATCAAAAGAGATGTTATAATAGGCTTAACGCTTTTACTTTGCTCTTGACAAGAAAAGGCTGTTTCAAGCAGTGTGAGATAATTACATTCAAGTAATGAAACTCAATTCTCCTTTGTCATGTGTGATCTTTTTAATAACATCCTCTAAGTTGCAGTATAAACAAATTAATGCATCCAAAGACATTACATAGAAACGTGAATAGCTCCCTGCCCAGAAGTCCATTTTGTTATTTTTTGATTCTTTTAATCCTTTTTATTTGAGTTCCAATCAGGTCACTTCTTTTTTCAGTTAAGAAACATCTATGAAATGTCATAATTTTACTCACACAAAACAACTTCAGAGAAATACCACTTTAGAAAGAATATTGTGGAGCTCTCAATCTTAGGATAAAAAACAGCTTAACAGAYCATCACAGCAAATCACCCTTCCCATGCATACATCTTTTTCTTACTTCAGCGAAACAACACTAACTCCTGTATTGGCTGTATAGAGGACAGAAGGCAGTTATTACTCTGTCAGTTAATGATATACCCATAGTGCTAATTATGGTAACTATAACACAATTTCACGTGAGTGAAAAATATCAAGATAGCTGAGGCTGCAGCCAAATCTCAAACCATAAAACAATCTGTCAGCTGCCTCTCAAAGATTTTGTGGCTTTATGTAGAGTAGTGCAAATCAGATATCTGTAGTTGTAGTAGTGCAATTAGATATTTGTACTAYGTTTTTATCCTTAGTTTCAAAATGCCTTATAAAAAAATTGGACCTATGGCAAACAGTACCTAACAAGTACCCAAGTGCAAAATGTATTTATGTTTTGCAAGACTGTCWTGAAGATGCCCATCTGCACTAGGGGAGAACTCAAAGGTTTCGCTGCTATATGATGCACTGAGATTTCACTTTTAATATCTACTAATATGTTATCTTAGAATAATAGGTGAATACAAATTACAAAGCATCACCTTAGCTGTAGAACACTAATTTTTGGTTACACTTTTTTGAGGGCTTTGATGAGTACAGTTTCACATCGCTTGTTGCTATGTCTCAGTGTTCCCCTAAACCCTAAAAAGGTTCATGCGCAACACAGAGAAAACAGGGACAAAAATGTTCCTGCAAGCAAGCAAGGACAGGCTCACAACACTTCGAGAGAAAAAAAGCTTTCATAAAGCATGCACAGGTAAGCACAGCAATGAGGTACACCCTTGCAGTGCATGGTACCCAGAGCACAAAAGATTTTCGAGATGAGCTTTGGCACATTCCCAGGGTTGTATTGGAAGCAGTGTGAGTGTTCCCAGTTCTACTGACAGCTGAGAAAAAAATGCTGCCTTCCAGAGCTTCTGAAGACCTAACARTAAGGGCACATCTTCCCTGGCAAAATGCAGTCATGCAGCCAGCTGGGCCTTCCTCCCCTGCACCAAGGAACTTGTTTTAAAGAAAGTCCAATATGTGTGCAGCAGCCGACCTCTCCATCAAGCTTACTGTATAAGCTAAAAACATCTTCAGAGGCTCACAATTCTGTGGGTATCGCCTTCTACAGTGCAGTTCTCCAGCTACTTAATTTAYATAACTCATGCAGTGATTTTTCTCTTACTATCCAGAGGACAGAGAGACATTATAATCTTGAAGAAATATCTGAGGCTTAAGTAACTTTCTCCCCATCTTGCTGCACAAAACTCTGATTTGCACTTGCCAGCAGGACATGATACTTCTAAATTGATCCTCTACATTAGCAGCCTTGACTCAGCCCTCTCCGACTCAGTGCAAGTAGAGACTGCAATTTGCAGCCGCCCCAAGGCGCTGGGATGCTTGGTGGGGGTGTTGAACTTAAACCCTTCACGTGCTTGCCAGTTRACCAGGAATTTACCTGCAACCTCTGCTGCAACTGATTTAACCAGGGCTGAAGTTCATCTTTCAACACCTCTTTCCCCAGCTCATGCCATACTGTCCAATGCAKCTTCTGGGTCATCTGTGAATACGTTGCGCTCCACTCCACTGCATGGCTATTAACCATCTTGACATTTTGTGGACTGTGAAGGCAACTATTGACAGTGTGCAAATGCACATTTTCTAGGCATTTGTACTTAATGATGTGACTTTTGAATATACATGAGTTTAAGTGACATRGGCAAGAACATGTAACACTCGCAGGCCTGAGAACAGAAGAGATGGCTCCTCATAAGCTCTCAATAAAAACGGGCTTAGCGGCAAACAAAAATGCCTCATGACATGCGTCTGCCTGGTGATTCCTGTGTGCCAAGTGACACCAGGAAACCGTAATATATGTTCCTTGTTGATAATGAAAGAAAATAAGTATGGATCTAGATCGCATACTGATATAGCCAACTCCACGTATCACTCTCCTATACTGCAAAACTGAGTATGAACACCTTCACTGCAGCATGCAGGTGCTACAGTCACCACCCCCAAACATGAAACTTCACCTGAGTCGAGTCTCAGCAGTATCCTTAGACTGAGGCGCAGTCAAAACCAACGTGTGCACAACAGTTACTTGGAACTGCCTAGCAAAAACAAAGTGCTGGATATGCCMAGATTTTTCTGCATTTATTTACTAAATATATATATTTTGCGTATGTGTGTGTGTATGTGTGTGTGTGTATATATATATAGTTATACACACACATACACAATGTATGTATATATATATACACACACACACAAACATATATATGTATATATATACACACACATACACACACACACAACCTATATGCTATCCAAGCAGTGGATATGTCTGCAAGCAGTGAATATGTGTTTTTCTTGAATTAGGGTCAAGATCCTTCCTCCATAAACACTAGGCAGGATTTRGATTTCAGAGCATAATTTGCTGGGTGGTATTTATATATCATATGTGCAGTCATCAGATTTCTCAACATTTTGCTGCCAACATTTTGCTTCTATTATTTAAATAGAAGACTAGAAGATTAAATTGACAGGTAAGTATGGCTGAGTTCAAGAGMCAGCTAAAATGAAGGTAAAAAACGTAAGTTTAAAAGATTTAGGTAATATATAACATTCCTATTTAGCACATCAACACYCTCAATCATTCTACAGCCTTTGTGCAACATAAATTTACATTTACTTACACATACTTACTATCATTCATCAAAGATTCAAAGCCCAACAAGAGCATATATCGTAGAAATTATCAGTCACCATCCCAATAAATCAAATCACATTCTAGGCCTTTGTTCAAAAGCTTTCCGAGTATGCTATAGCTTTGAGCACATTGGAGCACTTTATTCTCATGGAATTTTTATGAACTATCTCCTTGAATTCATTAAAAAAATCTGCTGTCCTATATAGCAAACATGCTAGTAACAGCCTTGTCCAAAACTTTGAAAAATTTTGATAAAAAGGCAGTTAATAGCTGACTCTTCGTTCAATGCATCATTGATTTTTAAAGAAAACTGTTAAACAGGGGACACCGCATGCTCCGTAAATAAAATGCTGCATCTTCAAATTACTTGATTTTAGTTGATGGGCACAATTTCAGAAGTTTCCCATTCAAAATCTCAACTCTGCTTTTATGCAACTGTTTACAAGCATATACTATAAGTGTATGCTTGTAAGCATAAGCATACAAAAGAAGCTCTGCACCAAATTTCATTCCCACTTCCTTTATTTTCTTCCTAATATTAAAACAAACAAACAAACAACAAACAAAAAAACAGGATTTATCTGCATAGTCAGCATGGATCTCCTGTTATGTCTGTACTTCTTCATGGTTGGAATGTTCTTTGAATTAACATCTCTCTACTTTTTCAAATTGCCACCTTTTTACTTGCTTTTCCTTGCACTATTTGACTCCAATTGCTATGTCTCAGTGCTAGTGTTTTCCTTATTTATTTTAATTTGGTACAGCTGGGATACAGCTAAACRTAACAGTAAACCTGTTTCTTATCAGATTAGATCCCAAGATGGCAAATTATGCTGCATGTGGGAAGACAGCTGTAACAGGTTATGCCCAAATGCCCACAAGCAGGAGTGCTTCCATTTTGCAAACTTACTTTATACCCCTGTGTACTTAAAACTGTGTAGGCATATTRTGCTTCCTGTAATGACAAAGTGCTATAAGCAGAACTGACCAAGCTTTCTAGAAGATAGATGCAATTTTACATGGATATCAAACAAATACGTTGTCAAAATAGTACTATAAAATTAGGATAACATATAACRTGTGATACATGTGCTGAATTTCAGATGCTAAACGGATTGTTTAACAATTTGGGGAATTGTAAAATCAGCTATTGCTTGCAGTTTCTTAAAAAATACCATCCAAAGAGGCAACAAACAAACACACCAAGAAACTTAAAACTGAAATACAGGTCCAAGATGGCTCGTCTTTGCTCTTGGTACTCTGCGCCAAGCAGCTCCCTSTCGGCCGGAGCCCTGGTAGGGCTCCCACGGGCTGGCTCCCACTTGCCTTCCCTTTTCTCCCTTCACACTGCTGCACCAGCCACTGCTCTGGCCCAGCGCAGGCACGAAGCAAAGTTCCCATTTAACTGCTGCTCAAAGGCACCAAGGCACCTTCCTTGGCATCCCTCAGCACAAGCACAGCAACTTCCCCTCTGTACAGGACATGCCTTGCTCCAGGAGGAGCAAGGAACAAAACTAATAAAATCCTGTATCAGGAGCCTGCATTTCAAAGACATGGTCACCAGCACCATTACTTGTATGCATCTTCTATTATTGCAACTACAGCATTCAAATCCCACTTTTACGTYACAGCACTCCATTCTTACTGTGACATCAAACGGGGTTAGCGAAGCACAGGATCTGGGCTTAAAATGACAAACAAGGGGAATAATCCTCATAAAACCTTCTGTGAGTCTATACATGTGTTCTACTTCAATTCAATTACAGTAAGTATCTCAACAGATACCTTACGGGAAGGATTGAGGGTAGATATACTCATCTGAATACTAAACATTCAATTGGTATTTCACGGTGAAACTAACACACTCTAGAA